AACAATTACAGGCTTTCGTTTTACACTTCACTTGGCAGGACGGTAGTAAACCTCCTGGGCGGTTGCTGTCTACCAATATACCTAATAATAAAAATATATATATATTATATATATATATACGTATTATATATATTATAAAAGATAGGATTATATAAAATATATATATACCTTAGTAAAGGGCTGAGCTTCAAATGTGCTGAGGTACTGATAACAGATCTAGCTTATAAATTCAAATATAAATAAAAAAAAAAAAAGCTCTGTCCCAAATCTTGTTCTGGAACATGTTTTCCCTTTTTCTTATCCTAATTTGACCCCTCAAGGGAGGTTCCTTTGTGCTAGGTTGGGGGCCCTTTTGGGATCTATGGATTGGATCTGTGCTTCAGTTCCCTAAATTTTAAGCCTGAATGCCTTCTATTCCCCCCCCCCCCCATCCTCACAGGGCTGTATAATCCCTATGGATTTAATCCTCCCATAAAATTTAATTTTTTACTGAAATGTACCTGTTAGTAAATGGACTAATTTAAATGGTAGTTTTTATAACACACCATCCATTTCCCACTAGGCAGGTGACTTGAAAAAGAAGAAAACAAAGGTTTTCTTCTCTTTACTTTAGTAATTTATACTGGAGAAGGGGGTTACTAGGCTAAAAATGGTATTTGAAAACACCTGTCACTAACACGATTCATTCAACGACAGGCCCAGCTGATTCAACGAGAAAACCCCAGTTTCGTGCTTTTCCAGCGTCGTCTCCTCACCAAGTTTAAGGACAAGACTCCAAAAACCACTGCCCAAACTTAGACAACCTTCTGGAAGGAACTTACAAGCAAATTTTACAAATCACAGATGCCATTAATGATTAATAAAAAGGGTTTTAATGAATTACTTTAACTGATGTTTTGGTGTGTATGATTTTTGCTTTTTCTTTCCCTCTATTGTATCTTTTCTTTAATAAATTTTTTTAGGAATTTTTCTCTGTGTTACCCTGCCCAAAATGCACCACATGCTAGTGGATCTTTTTGTGCTTAACAGTATTTTATTATATGTAAACTGCATTTGTATAATGCAAAAAAGGAATAAACCTATATGGTATTATATTATGTACACAACCTTTACTGCCTCATAAAACTTTATTCTCTCAGTTACCTAATTTCAAGTTCTTGATTTCCTCACTTGAACAGTTACAATTTAGGATTGCTAATTGTTCATAATACTATTTATGCACCATTTTAGTCTACATAAGTAATGAGGAAATTTCATGATGTTTACCCCCAAGGGCCCCAGAGGAAGATTTTTGCCAACTGAGCTGTGTGGGGGGTGGTGTGGGTTTGCGTCTTCAGACTGCGTGCCAGATCATCGTATGCCCTGCTAAGTGCTGCCCTCTCACCCCTGGGCCACCTCTCAATGGATCAGGTAAGTGTGCTATGTAAGATGGAAATGGTATACTGTGTAGCCCTTCCCGTAATATACACCCGTGAGTATTTACATATATATGAGTATACATGAGGATGTTGTAGTTCAAAAAAGGCATTCACTGTTTTGTTATCAGGAACACCTCTGGCAAAGGCATTGAAGACTGTGGGAATGTGTTTCTTCAATTTTGATTTCCTTTCCCTTTGGGAGAAGATGTCCCGTGTCCTAAAAATATATCTTCTTTCTTTTTAACGTACGCCGTACCCACCCAGGTGGGGGGCCCAAAAGGAAAAACGAAAGTTTTCCTTTCAAAATTTTGTAAAATATAAGGAGAAGGGGTTTCTAGCCTTTGCTCCTGGGTTTTAGTTTTCCCCTTACCACGCTAGTTACGGGGAAGAACCCTGTTCCATTTCCCCCGCAGAAAAAGGAAAAAAACAAAACAAGAACTAGAAAGAAAAAAGAAAAAAACCCAAGGGGGTTGTATAATTGCTTTACATGTATGTGTAGTGGACTAAGTGTAAGTAGAAGTGCAAGACGCCACGAAATCTTGAGTTTCTTCTTTTTTCAGTGACCAGCCGGACCCCCCACCGAGGCGGGGGGGCCAAAAAAAAAAACGAAAGTTTTCCTTTTTTTTTTTTTTTTTAACAAGTCGGTGTCTCCCCGGGGCAGGGTGACCCAAAAAAAAGAAAGAAAACCCCCAAAAGAAAATACTTTCATCATCATTCAAACACTTTCACCCCACTCACACATTACACTGTTTTTCAGAGGTGCTTTGAAGCATATACGTATAGAGATACACAACATATCCCCCAAACTGCCAAAAATTTTCCCAAAAACCCCTCCTTTAAAGTGCAGGCATTGTACTTCCATTTCCCGGGTCAAGTCCGACTAATGAAAATAAACCCGGTTTCCCCGATCCCTTCACTAAAATTTCCTGCTCACATCAACAACGTCAGGTCCCAAATATCATTCGTCTCCATTCACTCCTATCTAACACGCTCAGACGCTTCTGGAAGCAAGCCCCCCACCCCCAAAACCTCCTTTACCCCCCTCTTTCCAAACCCCTTTTGGGTGACCCCACCCTCTTTCCCTTTCCCCTATAAATTTAATTTTCCTTCCCTTCTACTTTGATCCATTCTCTCTAAAAAGACCAAACCACCTCAACAACCCCTCTTCTGCCTCTGATAATGTTTTTTAATCCACACCTTCCCTAAATTTTCCCCACTCCGAATTTTCTGCTAATTTTAACCACACAAGGAAGGGGTTACTAGCCTTGCTCCCGGGATTTCGTGCCTCTTACAACACGCTGGCTTCGGAGGAAGAATCTGTTCCCCTTCCCCATGGAGATTGAGGAAATAAAAAAAGAACAAGAAATAGAAAAAAAAATAGCAGAAAAACCCGGGGGTGTGTATATATTGCTTGTCATGTATGCTAGTGTGACCTAAGCGTAAGTAGAAGTAGCAAGACTACCCGAAATCTTGCATGTTTATGAGCAAAAAAAAGACACCAGCAATCCCACCATATGTAAAACAATTCAGGGTTTTGTTTTACACTCATTGGGAGGACGGGAGTCCTCCCTGGGTGGTTGCTGTCTACCAGCCTACTCCCCCGGCCTAAAAAAAAAATACACTGTATAACAGCAGGGTCTAGGTTTTTCAGTTGGGTTTCCAAGATGAATTTAAAAAATGTATTTTACCTTTTTTGGAGGTAAAAGTCTAAAAATTTCCAAAAAAATAGAAAATGTTAAGATTAAATGTATTTTCCTTGCATGGGTGCAGTAATTAGAGAGGGTGGTGGGCATCTCCCGCCATCTTGGCTGTCCTCCACTCTCTTCTTCATTTTAAATCCACCACAGATTTTTTATTAGTTTTTTTAAACCATTGTTCAGACTTCAGATTGTTTTTTCACATTTTTTTTTTAAAATTTTCGATGTATAATATAAAACACCCAGAAATGTGTTTTATCTAGTAGTCTTCCCCCTTTTTTAAAAATTTAAATCAGTGAAGATTTAAATGAACACGTCCCGGGGTCCCGCCAAAACTTTTTCATCATGTATTATAGTTAGATAAAGTATACATAAAGTTACATAAAAAAAATGTCTTACCAAAAAAAAGTCAAACCTCCTGTATAGAGTCAGAAAACTCAAGCGAGAGAAAATGACACAATACACCCAAGTTCACAGGGTGGGAAAATTCTAGTTAGGAAAAACAAATTTAGGTCACTTACACAATACGAACGAGAATGATCTATCACGATTTTCAGGGATACTAATCTTACAGAGAACAACTAAACAATGTCCAACCCAAAAGCCTTTAAAATGTAGGTATGTTTTGTCCATTTTGTTCAAATTTCGCAGTACAATCTCTTATAATTAAATAATCAACTACCTCATTTTGTGATTTTATAGTAAGCATAAGTACCTTATGTAATTTCTTATTTACTATTGTTTGCTTAAATATTAGCTGAATCGATACTTTCTCTGTCCCATATTACTACCTCTAATTTTTTTTAAATACTATCACATGATATTACTTCCCAAAAAAATTAATAATTACCTTTTTTACTATCAATCCAATTTACTCTTAACATTTTTTGCCCATTTTTAAATTTAAACCATTACTAGTCTAATTACCTTAACCTGTGTTAATCCCAATTTACTATCTTAGAGTACTCTTAATTACCTTGTACTGCCAAATAACCTCAATATAACTACCAGTGCAATATTGAATGAAATAAACATTAAATTTTTCACTTTTTTTGTTTAAACATTATTACTTACTAAAATTTTATTAAACACCATATTTACTACCAGTCAATTTTACTTTGTACATTAATCATTTTTTTTTACTTCCCATAACATTTTGTTGTCAAATTTCCAAATTTGTAATATTCAAACTCCAACCTTTATATTATCCTTTACCTGTGTTACCTGTGTACTTGTTGCCTCTGTACCTGTGTACCTGTCTACCATCTTACTTCATATTATAACCAAGTCATTGCCATTGTTATTTTTTACTTATTTTCTTTTGATACTTTAATTTGTGAATTTATTTTGTCAATTTAATCTAGTTATACTCTTGGGTCTTGTCAACAACTATACCCGGACCTAGTGCAATTGCATGTACCATTTCAATTTGTATTTTTATATTATAAGTTTATATTATAAGTCCTACTCTAAGATTGTTTTCATATTCTTAGTGACTATATTGTGTGTGGCAATTAGTGTATTATTTCAATTATATTATGGTTCAAGGCCCTTACTATCTTTTGCTAACTAGTACCCAACTACCTCAATATATTTTTTTTTTATAATTTTTGTTATTCTTTTGCTACCTTAATTGTGTATTTTATTATGTCAATTAAATTTAGTTATACTCTAAATTTTGTAAACAACTTATATTAACACCTTAGTGCAATTACAAACTGAGAGGGACTTGTGCCTCTCTTTTTATATTATTAGAAAATTAAAACTCAGTTGAACTATAGCTCATTCTAGCTCAATACATAGTAATACAAATTATTATATTAGACCATGTGTAATTACTAGTGAGAGACTTGGTGCTATTTCTTAACTTTGTATTTTTATCTATTATTAGATTAAACCTAGTTTGTTACTATAGCTCAGTCTAGCTCAATACCTAGGACTATACAAAAATCATTATATTAGACCTTAGTACAATTACTAAGTAAGTGTCTTTGTCGCTATTTTTTAATTTGTATTTTTATATTATTAGTTTATTACCCTAGTTGTACTTTAGGCTCATTCCAGCACAAAAACACATAGGACAACATCATACTCCATTATGTTTATTAGTGACTATACTCTATATGACCAAAATGCTTTAGCTATTTACTTGTCCAAAATTCCCCACCACTAAGATATCAGTACTAGAACTCAACACACAACTTCAGGATATAGAAATAACCATATGTATACCTAGAAGATTGATTGTTCATGTTAACTGATCTAAACCTCCCATAAATCTGACACACAATCAAAACCATATTGGAAAGTAACTGCCTTTACTACACAGCATCACAAGCCAGCACTATCTTAAACAATGCTAAAAGTTTATCAGTACTTAACTACAACAACAGGTCCTTAAGCAAACACTATGATGACCTCCTGTAAGTAAGTAAGTAAGTAAGTAAGTAAATTTATTCAGGTTTACACAATTACAGCTTACATAGAATTATCATACATAGACAAGCATATGTGTAGAGAACCTAGGATAACCCAAAAAAGTCAGACAGAGTGACTTATTTCCATTGGGGTCCTTTTACCTTATTATTATAATATAAAGGTTATAATTTTTTCTTATTATTCTTGAATGAAGATAACATCTTATTATATACTAAAAAGACTATTCTACTACACGAGGTTCATTAAGACTATCTACAATTACGCAGGGTCATTAAGACTATCTACTACCCGAGGGTCATTACGACTATCTACAATACGAGGGTCATTACTAGTGGATAAGGTAAAATTACACGTATTTTAGCTAAAAATAAGAAAATCTTTACCCTACCTTTCTGTTGCTTCATTTCATCAGACACTTTTGCAGTCTTCTTGAATGGTTCAAGCTATGACTGGCCTTGACATTTGCTGGGTAGTCATGTTCCATTCCTTTATTGCTGTACAAGAAAAGGTGTTTGAAGCCCGGCCACTGGACTGTGGGTACTACAAAGTTGGCTCTCTCACCTAGTACTATGATTGCTGCGGTTCCCAACTTGACATAATTGACAGCAAGATATTCTGGACACTTGTCTGTGAGCAATTTTTATAAAATGATTTACTTCAGTTGTTTTACTCCTGTCTTCAAAATCAGCATATCCAACTGCTGTAATTCATCCTGGCCTACATGTTCTCCTTGGTCCCAGCCCCAGGATGAATCTTACGATCTTTGTTCTGGGTGATTTGCGTCTATCTTTCAGTTTTTTTGTCACGGGGGGGGCCAAAAAGGAGTACCCAGAAGGAGCAAGCGTTAATCCATATG